AACTTATATTTTCTTTTTCAAGGTCCTTCTCTCACACTAAGCTGGGCTCCTTAAGGGCTACGACTGTCCTGACATCTCACTTTCCCTACTCGTTAATTGGTCTCCAGGAAAGGTGTATGACATACCTGCTCTGTCTTCATATGGAACTCTTTAAGCTCATCCTCTGTGAGGGGAAGGTAATTCTCATCATTTTCAGGATACTCCTGCCATCCCATTGCTTTCAATAACCTGGAGGAAGGAGGTCAGGCAAAGAAAACATACCTTGAAGCATAAGTGGGAAGCCCACAACTTTCCACAGAAAACTTTTCTCCCCAGGGGCAATGGTACCCACTTCAATGTTGGACAAGAAACTTAGGTTCTTTTATCCCCAGTGAAATAAGCTTTAATTATTGTTATTTAGGTGCTTGTAACTATATGGGGGATTTCCACAGTTGCTCTTTCCAGATCATAAGAGTTACAGAGGAGAGATACTAAAAGCAGAAAATAAGACAGCAAAATGAAAGGAGCCAAATTGCAAGGGCCCTCACTGTCCCATAGACAAAACAGAGGAATAAATCTCACTTTTGTCTCGTGAGCAAATTAGCACATTTCCATATGTAATGAAGTTCTTGTTCAATTTCATGACATTAATGTTCTCCTTAACATTATGACCCCAAAAGTTCCTCTGGACAGGAGCCTCCTGCAGAAAGGTACTATATCACTTGGTAGGCCCCATGTGCCATTCAGCTGCCCAGACAGTTGGCTGCTCTGCGTTTAAGGGTCTCACTTAAAGAACAAGCTCCAGAATTGGGGCCCCATGCCTCCCAAGGCCCCTACAAGGAGTCTTATAGTAACTGCTCAGTTGGGCCAGGAGGGTCCAAGGAGAGAGCACAACAGGCCAAGGAAACAGGTCTCTCTCTCCTCTTTTCAACTGGAGCCATAAACTGAGTCTGAAACTACAGAAAAGCCTTAGGAGTTTCAAAAAGCTGGTTGATTCTGTTAAGGAACACCCATTGAGAAACAGGTCAAACTGGGGCATACAGAGAACAAGTTAGGGTGCTCATGGGACTTCCATTTGTATGCTGGACTCAACCCGAGATGTGTTAAGTATGGTCCAGCTCCTTGCAAGCCACACACAGCATTCTCTGTGATCTGATCCTCACTTACCTGTGCTCTGCTTCCAGTGAGTGTGAGAGGACCTCCCCTCCCTCCTCTACAGGGAGAGGGAGACCATGCTGATGACAGCCTTCCTCTCCATTTTCCTTTGGTTCAGGTGTGCTGTTGTCCTCCAACTGCAATAAGGAAAAGAACTCACTTTGTGTAACAATCCTTTCAGGCAAGAAAAGCGATATACAACAAGAAGGAGTCAGAACCCAGGGAAGTGCTTGACAGAAGACTTCAACGCATAGGTTCTCCCCATTTAAAAATGAGGAATAGCCCTGGCCACTGTGGCTCAGTTGGTTGGGAGCTGTCTCATGCACCAAAGGGTTACCAGTTCAATTCCAGGTCAGGGCACATGCCTGGGTTGTGGGGAACGTGCAGGAGACAGCCAATTGATGTTTTGCTGTCAACTGTCACCTCTCTCTCCCTCTTTAAAATTAACTTAAAGATCTTTAAAAAGAAATAAAAAAATGAGGACTTGCACCGGGCTGGTGTGGCTCAGTGGTTGAGCACTGACCTATGAACCAGGAGGTCACAGTTTGATTCCTGGTCAGGCACATGCCTGGGTTTCAGGCTCAGGAAAATGCAGGAGGCAGCTGATCGATGATTCTCTCTCATCATAGATGTTTCTGTCTCTCCCTCTCCCTTCCTCTCTGAAATCAATAAAATATATATATATTTTTTAAAAAATGAGGACTTGCCCTACCTGGTTTGGCTCAGTGGATAGAGCAGTCAGCCTGTGGACTGAAGTGTCCTGAGTTCGATTCCAGTTAAGGGTACATGCCCGGGTTGCGGGCTCGATCCCAGGCAGGGGCTGTGCAGGAGGCAGCTAATCAATGATTCTCTCTCATCATTGATGTTTCTATCTCTCTCTCTCCCTCTCCCTTCCTCTCTGAAATCAATAGAAATATATTTTAAAAAAATGAGGACTTGCTAAGATTTCCAAAGGATACCATCTGGCCACCATCTACAGGTTATGTCAACAATGGAGAAGCTACTAGATACTATTGTTCTTATTTTGCAATGCAATATAGCCCTAACTGACAAAAGCTTCTATTATTTACCAACTTCTTACAGACCTGACCAATTCAGGACTAAAGCAGTACTGCTCAGTTGAAGAATACTGAGTCCCAAGGCAACTATCATTAAAATAAGCCCTAATTTGAAATCTGTTGAACAAAGAATTAAACTCATTCTACCAGAGGCTGTTAGTCCTACAGACACTTTTCTATACATTTAAAAACTTGCTACATCTTTCTCCTAAGAAAAAAAGCACACATACAGCATAAGAAAACACCTATGCTGCCTAGAAAAAATCTTATGCTCTTACATCCTCCAGCTTGTCACAGTCTCTGTTCTCTGAGAAGTCTCCATTCCGGTCATCCTTCAGAGTCTTCAGAAACTCGCTTTTCCTGTCGGTGGTTCGGCGGGTCAACTTGGTCAGACGAGAGGAGCTGATCTCAATGGGAGGAGTGGTGCTGGAGGGACTCTGCACAAACAGATTGCAAACAGCAACTACTGGGATTCTCCGGGTCACTTCTACATGGATTGATTTCCAGAATCTGGTAGCCTAGCTATCATTCTGTCTTTGACACCCAAAACAAACAAACAGACAAGCTAACTAACAAACTAACTATCCTTTTCATTTAAACATACTTTAGCTTTGCTGGTTTTTTAAAGTTAAAACTGGATGGCTTGCCCAGCCAGTGTGGCTCAGTGGTTGAGTGCGGACCCATGAACCAAGAGGTTATGGTTTGATTCCTGGTCGGGGCACATGCCCGGGTTGCTGGCTCGATCTCTAGTAGGGGGCATACAGGAGGCAGCCCATCACTAATTCTCATCATTGATGTTTCTCTCTCCCTTCCTCTAAAATCAATAAAAAATTTAAAAAATTAAATAAGACTAGATGGCTTACATAGCACCTCTTTGATTTTTCTACAGACACCAGCATAATGTCAGTTTTAACACAGGCTGAACCTGGTCTATTCCAAAGCAACTACCCCACTCAGATACTGCCCATCTTTGCAATGCTAACAGGAATCACCAGTAAACAAACAACTCTGAGCTAAGCAGAGATACAAAGGAAATCGAGTTAGAGGTGTATATGTCACACCGAGTACGTCAGTAAAGTAAATGGGAAATGGCAACTTTAGCAAAGGCCTCTGCTTTATCTTCACTCACCTCTTTGGGAGAGCTTAAAACTGCACCACCAGCCAGTACTACTGGTTTGGTAACAGAGATTGGACTGGTAAAAGCAGACTCCCGGCTAGAGGAAAGGGATCCTGATTTGTGTTCCATTCTGTTAGCTTTCCATGCACTGGGCTACATGGGAAGAAAGAACAAATTAGAACAAGCATGCAGACAGCTCAGCCTGTAAGATCACAAGGCAAAGAGTAAAATGTTACATGGGAACATTATTTTCCAGAGCAAACCCGTTTCAACATGTTTGGGAAGAATGCAACCTCTTAGGCACTTGAAATAAAAAGGCAGATGGGAACCAAAAGATCCATGGATATTAATAAGTATTTTTCAAAACAACAACAACAAAAACAACAACAACAAAAAACTCTAGTTCAACAAGCCTGGAACATGCTGGAGTGAATAAAGTTCAACAGGTTTCTTTACTGTGCTATTTCTCAAAACATCTAACTGTACATGTGAATTTGAGAAGCAGATATAATATACAACATTTTCCAAAATTATGTGACACCAAAATGTATTCTTTTATGGTGTGTTAACCTAAATGTAATCCTGATACCCTAAAAAAAAGCACACCAGAAAAATACTGTTTTCCAGAAACTTCAATGGCTAGTTCCAGTCCAGGGTGGGTAATATCAATGGCTGGACATTCCTGCTTAGTCCAGAGGCCCTCCTTTTGCCCAGCCTCATGGGGTCTGGGCATATTCTGTTACTCTGGCCCTGGCCCCAACTATGATGACAGCACAGCTGGAATACAGAGTCAATTATACTATATGAAGGAATAGGGAAGACAAAGCATGTTGATGGAGTGAGACTGAAACAAGTGAAAACAACCTTTCTCCAGAAAGAAACAATGAAAACCGAGAGACATTCACAACAAAGAAAGGGTCTGAGTAAAAAGAATTCTTTCTTGGTATTAAAGAGGATACTATAGACTTTAGGAAGGGAATTAACTGATTATCTACCATGCATCAGATGCTCATCATGCTGTTTTATTTAATTCTTAAATCAATCAGGCATAATTATGATGTTCACTTTTTACAGAGAATGACACTGAGGTTAAAAAAGTTATACAATTCGTTCAAGGTTACTCAAGTAGTATGTGGTAACTTTTTTCACAATGACTCCAAAAGAACACGCAAGCAGATAAAAGACAGAGAAAAGATTGTTTTGCTTGCTGAAAAATCTAAAGACGGCTGCTTATGACAGGCTAAATATACACAGAGCATAGAAACATGGAAGGTTTCTGTCATAGTAGTACGTAAGGTTTAACAGGCAGCGTTATATGCAAAAGGATACCTATATCTCTGCTCAACTTGATCTTCATCTTCCATTACTCAAACACTGTGCTGCTCACCGGAGAAAACAATTATGCCCCACATCTTTTTATTAGAGGAATTATATATGGAAATACTCTAAAGTTAACCACATACCGACCACTGTTTTCTTTTAAACAATGTGCTATCTTTTCCTCCAAACTACAAATCAAGCCCAATTCTCCACCTCAAATGATTTTGTGCTTTCTACTGGACTGAAAAATAGAAATCACTGAATCCAAACTTTCCCTAATTACTTCCTTTGCACCTCAAGTTCCTTTGATAGCTTCATCCTTTCTACTATTCTGCATCTGTTTGTTCTTTTGTCAATTATTTCTCCCTTGTATCTTCAATCTCATTCTAATAGTTTGTTGAACATCTAGAGAAAAATGAATAGATAAATCCCCATCTGCCTACTAGTCATTTCACCTCTTACTTTCTCTAACATCTTATATTCAAGGTACCCAGAACCACTCTTTCCAACTTTTCCTGAAACTGATCTTTCTCACTTATCTAACTCCGGTGAAATGGTTCCATAGTTATTCCAGTTTCTCAGGGAAGAATACTTAAGTGTTCTCTGTTTTCTTCCTGTCTAATCTGCTTCCCATTATGTGCCATCCCCACCTCCTTTCTTTGCCTACTTTTACATTCCCTGTTCAAGCTTCATTGCCTTTTACAAGGACAACAGCAGCAGCCTTTACATCAGTTTTCCTATTTTCAATCTATCTTCAATTTAGTCCTACACAACAGGGCTTGTGATGTTAGCCCTGTGGGTTTCCTCTGGTACTCTGGCCAGAGCCAAGAAGCCAAATTTGAATTTATTCAGTAAATGCTTGAATTCTTGCTCTGAGTAAAATACTGCCAGACCTTAGAGTTTACAGTGATGGACAAGATCAGTGGAATCTCTACAAACCTCATGGAGCCTCTACAAACTTCATGGAGCTTCTATCCTGGTGGTGTATATATAAATCATAAGTACCAATTGTGTCCTATAAGCAAAAATATAGGCTAAAAGACTTTGCTACTCAGAACTCTGTTTCCCTCTCATTGTCATCTCCTGGGAACTTGTAGAAATATGGAAGCTCAAACCCTACCCCAGTCATCCTTTATCTGCATTTTAAACAGATCCTTAGATTATTTGTGCATTAAAGTGTGCTAAGCACTCCTACAAGAAATGATACCAGTCTTTTAAGGGTTTTTTGGGGGAATAATGAGAAAATTTTGTGAAGTACTTAAAATTAGCATACAGTAAGTACTAATAAATGCTAGCTATTACTGTCAACACGGCAGCACCTTATGTGCCTTTCCTTAAGAGTTTATGAAGAGTTTCCATAAGTGTTACTTTATTTTAAACTAGAGGCCCAGTTCATGAATTCGTGCACCAGTGGGGTCCCTGGTATCATTACCTCCGCTTTATAGATGATGAAATGGAAACTTATAACTTAAGAAACTTGTCCAGCCGAAACCGGTTTGGCTCAGTGGATAGAGCGTCGGCCTGCGGACTGAAGGGTCCCGGGTTCAATTCCGGTCGGGGGCATGTACCTGGGTTTCGGGCACATCTCCGGTGGGAGATGTGCAGGAGGCAGCTGATTGACGTTTCTCTCTCATCGATGTTTCTGATTCTCTGTCTCTCTCCCTTCCTCTCTGTGAAAAATCAATGAAATATATTAAAAAATAAAATAAAATCTATATTTAAAAAAAAAAAAAAAAGAAGAAACTTGTCCAAGGTCATATCACAAAGAAGGCATGAAGTGGAATCTACTCCAAAGCCCTTCTATTAATTTCTATGCTATTATATCTTAATAGTAGTTCCTCTCTTGACTTGAATTCACACTGTTTTCATTCCACATCAGAGGAACAAGTATCTTAAACCCTTTAAAAAAATAATTCCACTTGTAAGTTTTATTCTTGTTATTTCTTGTTGGACCATAACCCTTTAATGACTTCGTTCAAGTACATTTCCAGGTGTCTTCACAGGCTTCTTCCTAAAGATTTTCTTCATCCTTTCACTTAACTTCACCTACACTTATATTCTATTTCTTTTTATTGTCAAGTCTCAAATGTGCCACTATCTCCACTTCAACCTACATAATTCCAGAATCTCCTGAATTGTTCTTTCAGACCTATGCTACTTTCCTAAAACCTCAACTCAAAGATTACCAAAAACTTTCAAACTGCTAAGGTTAAAAATATTTTTTCAGTTATTTTCCTCAATCTCTCATCAACAATTGACAAGTGCTGACAACCCTCATTGCTATCTTAAATTCACCTACCCAGATATCTTTGATTGGGTTGGCAAGTTATGACCCATGGGCTAAACAAAAACCATGTATCATATGTGACCAGCAAAGCCTAAACTATTTATTATATGATCCTCTACAGAAAAGTTTACCAGCCCCTACTATATAGATGGTTTGGGACCACTGAAGGGATTTAGGAAAAGGACATGACATATTCAAGGATGATCATTCTGGCAGTTCTATGGAAGATTAATAGAAAAATGAGGAAATAGATGTATATACAATAGTAAAGATGAGATGACAAGGGCATAGGACATTAGAAAAGTAGTAACTGACAGGGACTTTATAATTTTTTGGTATAGGGGAATGAATCAAGAGGAAGAGGAAAGAAGCAGTCGAGATACTCAGCTAAATGATCAGATGTATGTTAGTGCTATTAATGGAAAGAGCAAATCAGAAAAAGCAGGTTTGCCTGGCCAGTGTGGCTCAGTGGTTGAGTGCTGATCTATGAACCAGAAGGTCACAGTTTGATTCCCAGTCAGGGCACATGCCTGAGTAGTGGGCTTGAACCCCAGTGTGGGGCATGCAGGAGGCAGCTGATCAATGATTCTCTCTCATCATTGATGTTTCTATCTCTCTCTCCCTCTCCCTTCCTCTCTGCAATTAATAAAGATCTATTAAAAAAAAATCATTGACTTAAAAAAACCAACAAAAAAAGGTTTATGAGATGAAGCTAAAGAATGAGAGGCTGCCGAAACCGGTTTGGCTTAGTGGATAGAGCGTCGGCCTGCGGACTGAAAGGTCCCAGGTTCGATTCCGGTCAAGGGCATGTACCTGGGTTGCGAGCACATCCCCAGTGGGAGATGTGCAGGAGGCAGCTGATCGATGTTTCTCTCTCATCGATGTTTCTAACTCTCTATCTCTTTCCCTTCCTCTCTGTAAAAAATCAATAAAATATATTTAAAAAAAAAAAAAAGAATGAGAGGCCTACTAAAAATCCAGTCATCAGCAGTAGAGTTTGGAGACAGAATACAAAAACATACATATATAACATGTTCTGAATATTTGGTGAATGATTCAACAGAAAAATATAAATTTACTATTCCCCCCCGCCTCGCCGCCCCGATTTATCCCCAAACTTCTGCTCTGTAAAGTTCTTACATGGATTCCAAATCGTACCTTGGAAGGAGGTGGTGCAGGCTTAGGAACCAGGTTCTTATAGACACTTGGAACCATGTTGGACAATTTGTTCCCATTTGCATAGTGAGATCCTGGTGAGGTGAATGCAGCAGAGAAGGCAGCAGCAGGATCTTCTTTGGAAACTTTTTTGATAGCTAGCATTTTGGAGGGTTGTTTGGCACCAGGTGGGTTTTCTGTGAAATAAAATAGTGGAGAAACAAAAGAATGTAAAGATATTAGTTAACAGGAAGCACAGTTTATATGAAGACCTCACAATCAACAAAGAGTTGACAATTGAGACTGAGGGACAAACATTCCTGATGTGTACTTAACAGATACCCTCAAAAGCGATACTACTTAGGAATTGTAGAAAAAAAGACAGTATATTAAGCACCTGATTCTAAAGTGATAAATCAACCAGAAAGCCCAAAGATGTTAGTAGTCTTTCAGGGGCATAACATTTCTAGTATATGGTGTATCACTCAGGCACAGAGCAAACAAGAATATATCCAAGGGTGGCAGCTCCTGTCAGCATGGGAATGGAGATCAGGAAACTGGGGAAGCTGCCATATACCATCGACAAAGGGGAAATGTTACAGCAACCATCCTTAATCCTAAAACTCAAGGTCCAAACCCAGTATTTAGATAAAGCCTTCCCAATAAGATGCCTGACTACTGAACATGTCTAATGTAGGGACTAGGAGAGTACAGTTTGTAAATGCCAAATACCCTAATGCCACATCATGTTTGGTTTGAAATACACTGATTTGTCTGTTAATTTTTTATAAGGCTAGTTATTCCCATATATATGTATGTATTTATATATTTTCTCCTTTCCCTATATAATAAGCATCCTTTGTAATTGCCAAGACAAAACAAAAAACTCAGCAACTGGAACTTGAATAAAATGGTCTATAGGATGTGGTATTATATAGCCTTTCAAATAACACTTTAGAAGACTATTTAGTAATGTGGAAGAATGCTTAGAATACATTGTTATATATACCTACCAAATATTTAGGAGACACCGATAACACATATAACTCAATTTAATTGTAAATTAGCAATGTTAATTAAAAATTACTTCTTATAAGCTTTATATATTATTCTCCCTTTGCTTAAAATCTGCTTTCAAAAATAGAAAAAAAAATGCTTTACGTTCAGGGCTCTTTAAGCTCTCAACAATCTGTATTCTAACTCATTACATTTCAATGATATTTGGGGGGGCAGAGTAGGAGTTAATAGGTGTTAGTTACTATGTGCAAACAGATGAGATGAGAAACAAGATAAAGAAACAAAACGAGAGATAAAGAATTTTTGCTCCTCTCCCTGATATGAAAAATTTAAAGTTGTGCCTTTAAAATGGCAAAATCTACCTACCCCACACTCCAGAAGGGGTCCCAATAGGTCTGCATGGCTGATTCTGTTTGCCAGCTTCTGGATTCAAGGAAGGCTAGGAAAAAAGGGATATTAATGGTTGATACAGAAAGCTAATCATTTTGGCACCTTTTGCAAAGTAGTACCACCATGGAACCTATCAAATAATATCAGCAGCATTTACTTAATGCTGTATTCAGAAATAACTAATAGATAAATGATGTTGAAATACAAAATAGATAGGTCTTATATTAATCTTAGGCTCTTTTGGGTTTCATTTCCTTTAAAAAGAGGAGTAAAAAACAAAACAAAACAGACTAAATGTTCAAGTTTTATATCCACAGAAAGCTGAATGAATAAGAATGTGAATCACTTTTCTCAGATTTAAGGACAATCTGTCAGTGAGATGTGTAGTAATTCTAGCCTTTCTAAGATTGCTTTAGGACAGAAGCAAACCATGTGCCAGGGACTACAATAGTAATACAAAGGTAATTAAGCCAATTAAAAAGAGTCCTTGTCCCCACAAGGGTTAGTTTCACTATAAAGATAAACTTGAAGATAAATAGGTACAATAAAAGGTTATAGAGACTATGAAAATATCCATATTAAAGAAGGAGTACTAAGAATAGCCAATTTCATGTGAAAGAGAAGTGCTCTTAGAAAAGTTTTCATTGGGAGATGACTAAGAGTCCTTAAAGATGATTTCCAAAGTTGGAATATGAGCGATTCTAAAGAACGGAATGCTCAGTGAACGACAGGAAAGCATGAAAAAGAATAGAATATTCAGCAACCTGCAAATAGTTCAACATGATTAGTGCTAGGGAAAGAGGGGATCCTTTTGTGAGGAAAGAGATGTTTGGCAAAGTAGGCAAGAGCCAGATTGTGGAGTATTTCTCAGAGACTGATTTTTATTTCTATAGGTAATGATCCATCTTTCATAAACAGAGTTAACCATGATCCAAGCATTAGTTTACATGGTCTGGTAGCAGCTTGAAGGATGTATTTGAGGGGTTTAAACATCAACTAGGAGACCATTAGAAGACTGATTTCATAGTCCAGGAGAGTAATGAAGGCAACAGAAGTAAAGGAAGATGAGGAAAAGGATGGAGAAGTGTTAAAGAGCAACAGACTGGACTTGAGAATGACACTGGTGTCCAAGCCTAAACTTTAAGATCTGGTAATAGAATAAGAAATGTCTTTTCGGCACAATTGACCATGGATAATTAAACAAATAGAAAGATGCCCAGACTCCACTACAGAGCTCCTGAATAAAAATCTCTAGGAGTAGGGCCCTAGCAGGTATGTATTTTCTATCTGTCAAGGTGAGAACCATTACTATAGAATAAGCAGATACAAACACCAACTCACTATATAAGTGGATAAATCAGTGACAGAATATGATTTTTTTAAGAATATGATGTTTTAATAGGCCTAGTTTATAGATGTAGGTGTGAAAAACACCAACTCCATCTCTGTGTCTCAATTTCATTCGATTTTTTAAGTTTCATGCTTTGACCAACCTAATTGTTCTTTTTTAAATCTTTTTTTTTATTGTTTAAAGTATTACAAATAGTTGTACATATGTCTTTTTCCCTCATTGACCCCCCCCCCACTTCCCCCACTCCCTGGCACATGCCCTCACCCCTCTCGTGTCTGTGTCCATTCGTTATGCTTATATGCATGCATACAAGCCCTTTGGTTGATCTCTTACCGCCCCCCTCCCCTGCCTTCCCACTTAAATTTGACAGTATGTTCGATGCTTCTTTGTCTCTGTATCTATTTTTGTTCATCAGTTTATGATGTTGTTTATATTCCACAAATGAGAGCATGTGATATTTAAGCTCACTGTTCTTAGCAAGCATATCAAAGCCTTCCAATTATCTGCGTTCCTTAAAATGAAGCTATAAATATTTTTGTTAGTTAATAGCCTAAATGGCATGACAACTGAGATAAATATTAAACTACTGATAGTAGCAATGATAAACAATACTCTATCACAAGACCACCAGGAGGTACAGCCCCAGGCGCTATTGCATTTTTGTCCCTTTGTCTTATCAATTATTAGTACCCAAGTTACACTATCAAAAAAGTATACCAGCCCTAACTGGTTTGGCTCAGTGGATAGAGCGTAGGCCTGTGGACTAAGGGTCCCAGGTTCCATTGCGGTCAAGGACATGTACCTTGGTTGCGGGCACATCCCCAGTAGGGGGTATGCAGGAGGCAGCTGATCGATGTTTCTCTCTCATCAATGTTTCTAACTCTCTATCCCTCTCCCTTCCTCTCTGTAAAAAATCAATAAAATATATTTAAAAAAAAATTTTTTTTTTAAAAAGTATACCATAGAGGAGAATAATCTGCAGAGTTCCTAGGTCTTCAACCCAATCTTCCATTATGTAAATGACCCTGTAATAAATTCTATGGAGTTGCCTGCTTTGTCTGCCAGTCTTAAGACACCTTTCTCTTTAAGGTGGCCATTACACCTTTGCCCAGTCAGATACCTGCATTTTTAGTCACATTCTTTCTAGAGTTTTCAGAAATACTGCCCCTATTTATGTGATAGCTTTGCTCTCTTTCCACTGATTTTTAAAAATGTAAAATAACTGCATAAAACAAATAGGCAAAATTCTTGTAAACATTTTATAAGCCTCATTCAAAAACAAAAAGAAAATCCTTCTTTCCTGATTTACAGCGATCACCTCTTTGCTTTTGTGTATCCCTCAAAACTATAGTTTTGTCTACAAAAAACATCATACTCTCTTCATCTACAGATTACTTTAAAAAATCTTATACCTCTGTATTTTCTATAAATTGGTAATTGGTTCTAGAGGTTACAGAATCTCCTCCCTGCCTCTTTATTTTGGCAAGGCAACTTCTTACTGATGTTGTGTTTTTCTTTTAGGAGACACATACATCCGGTTGTGCTTCTTTGTGAGATGGTGGCACGCATTGATGCCTACAGTCTAAAACTATTAACTCACTACAAGCTGCAAAACAATGACCTTCTAATTTTATCACTCCTTCTTTATTAGCTATTATACTTCCATTAAAAGGAACTTACTCTATTTGGTGACTCACTGGTATGATTCATATGGAAAAGATAAAATTCATGCTAGTTTCTAAGATGAAATATTACTGTGAACTCACAGATTTAATTTCAGTTGTGACTAAACCCTTGCAGTTATTAACCTTAATTGATACATGAACTATCCCATGTTTGGCCAGTTGGGAACCTCTAATTTGGCTTCTGAATCCTTTTGCTACAACTCTAGTAGTCTTTTCTTCTTTGCTACTTAGTATGACAAAAAATCCCAAGCTTATCTTACAATACATGCTCTTTCCAGTAATGGTATTTCAAGACCACAATCTGGGCATTAGGAATGCTCATTGCTGTGGGATTGATCATTGTTTTTAGATCTTTTTAGTGGAGGGAGCAGATCTTTTCAGTGGGGCAGGTGTGTGTGTATACGACACATTTTCAAAGATAAAATACTTCTTATTGATATTTCTTTTTTTTTAAAAATATATTTTATTGATCCTTTACAGAGAGGAAGGGAGAGGATAGAGAGTTAGAAACATCGATGAGAGAGAAACATCAATCAGCCGCCTCCTGCACACCCCCCACCAGGGATGTGCCCACAACCAAGGTACATGCCCTTGACCGGAATCGAACCCGGGACCCTTCAGTCCACAGGCCGATACTCTATCCACTGAGCCAAACCAGTCAGGGCGATATTTCTAATTCAAATTGAGTACCTTGGGGTTTTACTGAACATTTCTTATATCTGTATTTCCTTTCTTCTACACCAAGAATCCTGACTTTCAAGGATACAGGTATAGAATATCATATTCAATAGCTTTATTCCATATTACAATAGTCTGAGAAAAACAATATCAATATTATACCACCAGTATGATTAAAATGTTAATTTTTTGTACATGTTTTCCCCATTCTCTCATTAAAATAGTTACGCTGTAAATAGATTGACAGAGCCATAGCTATTACATGCCAATACTTTATTTTAACTCTCACTTAGTCTTAGTTCTACAATTAAGCATATACTTAATATTTACCACCATTCCTTTTGTTGCTTGCTTGCTGTCTTTCTGGTCAGTTTGGTTGTCTGAAGCTTGCTGTCTAGTACTTTCCTCAGGAAAAGCCTTAGGAACAGTATTCTGAATTTCTATACATTGATACTTAACCTTTATAACTGAAGGGAAGTTTGACATAGCATAAAACCCTTGGCTCACGTTTTCTTTTACTGAATACTGCAACTGTTACTACACTGATTTGTTATAAAGGTTTGTTGTCAAAGTGTCTGATTTTCTTTCTTTTATGAGTCACTTGGTCTTTATGCCTGGATGACCAAAGGACTTTTTTTTTTATTGTTTGAATCTAGTATTTTATCACTATCTAGATGTTGGCTGTTCTGGCTATCCTTTCAATTTGTAGCTACAAATCTTATTGTAATATAAATTATTCCTGAATTACACTTTTTATTATTTAAACCATTCTTTTGTTTGAGTTCTTTTTTGTGGAGTGGAGGGTAAGGATCCTATTATACATATACTAGAGGCCCGGTGCACAAAATTCATGCACTCAGTGGGGGTCCCTCAGCCTAGCCCAGCCGTGGGCAAACTACGGGCCCGCGGGCCGGATCTGGCCCGTTTGAAATGAATAAAACTAAAAAAAAAAAAAAGACCGTGCCCTTTTATGTAATGATGTTTACTTTGAATTTATATTAGTTCACACAAACACTCCATCCATGCTTTTGTTCCGGCCCTCTGGTCCAGTTTAAGAACCCATTGTGGCCCTCGAGTCAAAAAGTTTGCCCACCCCTGGCCTAGCCAGTGCCCTCTTGCAGTCTGGGAGGCCTCGGGAGTGGGCCTAAGCCAGTGGTCAGCAAACTGCGGCTCACGAGCCACATGCGGCTCTTTGGCCCCTTGAGTGTGGCTCTTCCACAAAATACCATGTGCGGGCGCGCATGTACGGTGCAATAGAAACTTTGTGGCCCATGCGCAGAAGTCGGTACTTTGTGGAAGAGCCACACTGAAGGGGCCAAAGAGCCGCATGTGGCTCGTGAGCCGCAGTTTGCGGAGAGGCTCCCGCCACCACCGCTGCGCTCGCCAGTGGTGAGCCCAGCTCAGGGCTTCTGGCTGAGCAGTGCTCCCTGTGGGAGTGCACTGACCACCAGGGGCAGCTCCTGAGTTGAGCGTCTGCCCCCTGGTGGTCAGTACGCGTCATATCAACCCGTCGTTCTGCAGTTCCGTTGATTTGCATATTAGCCTTTTATTATATAGGATTGGAGCCTTTCCCGCCACAACTTCTGTATCATTTTTTCTCAATTCTAACTTTTAATCTATTTGTTTCTCCTTAATTTGTTCATTTGTATGTGATTATTTTTGGAAATGTGGGTCAAGATAGCTTTTTTTTAAGACATCGTACTTTAGAGCTCTCCTGTTATTTTCATAGAGGGTCAAAAAAAAAAAATGATGGTTCACTTTCTTTGATGTCCTGGCTGTTCCCCTGCCCCACTCTCCCCCCTTTTATCTGAACCTTGTCTTTCTTCTCTATTTGTTCTTTATAAAAAAAATATTTTTTTATTGATTTCAGAGAAGGAAAGAGAAACATCAATGATGAGAGAAATAATTGATCCCCTGTCTCCTGCATGTCCCCTACTGGGTTCGAGCCTGCATCAGGGCCAAGTAATCTGACCAGGAATCAAACTGTGACCTGCTAGTTCATAGGTGGATGAGCCACACCGGATGGACTCTGCAACTCAATCTGGATTCTATTTCCAAAAGATTTGTCCTTGGGGGCTTTGTTTTGAAAGAGAATATTGCTGGTTAGTATGAACAATGATAGAACCCTGTGGTAGTTATCAATTTATTTTCTCTTAATTCCAAAGCCATCCATTCTGTCTGCTGTGTAAATGTTTCTGTGCACTTTAAAAATTTTCCTTTGTCAGCTGGCATGCTAATTTTTTAATCAGTAGAGAACAATGGAAAAACTTTTGCTTCTTGTTCCAGTATGCTTACTCAGCAGACTCCTGTAGCACCCAGTTCCTGCTAAGCCAGGTTCTGAAGTGAGCTCTGACTTGAGTGATTTTGTAACAGGGAGGCATCTTCCATGAACAGCATTATCAAGTACTCTAGAAGGCAGATTTCCAGCATGTTCCCTGGAGAAGCACCTCAGCAATTGCTCAGCCATTCAGTGAGCCACAGCAAAGCCCTTTTCAACAAAGTCTGGATCTCAGTCTGGGGTGGTGATGGGGGAATGGGGAATTCTTCCTTAGGTGCTCATCTTAGCCTTAGGGTTAGTGGCTGCTCCTTTTATCTGCTATTTCAATCTTCTTTAGTATTCTCTTTACTTCTTATTAGCCAATCACTCACACGATTAATTATTACACCATTCTAATAATTATTTATATTATGTTTTGTATAAAACTGTCATCTTCTTTCTTTTGCTTACTTTAATTTCAAAATCAAATAAACAACTTCTCCTCCCACCAAATAAACAACATCCAAACCTGATGTCAAATGTGGGAAGAGAAGGCAAGGCTTGAGACTCTTGTATTCTGCCTTAGGCAGAAAGACAGAAGAGAAAAAAACCACTAGACATCAGCAGAGAAAACCAGGTGGGCTGGGGACACACTCAGGGCTGCTGGGAGAGCAAGTTCTGCAGGTAGGAACTCCTTATCGACTTCTTTCAGGTAAGAGGCATCTTCATCACCCTTAATGGGATGATGAAGATCATCTCATCAGGAACAGCAGCACTGGGTTCTTCTGCTGTCACGTCAATTTCATCAATGCCTAGGCCTAGCTTGATCATGCAGTAATGCAGTTGGAGTGGGTCTGGGGATCCTCACGAGATGCCAGAAGAGAGCAGCGCAGTTTCAAACAGCAGGACAAGGTCCTTTTGGGCCATCATGTACCCCATTGTACAGTAATCTCAAAGTGTCCGGGCTTTCATGATATGCTGCTCCATGCTGTCTGTCCAGCTGTAGGTAGGTGCTAGTCACATGCAGCAGGATAAAGACATAAACCGACTGGAGATTGTCACCTTCTCAACCTTCTTATCCAAGATTTCTTTCATGAGTTTGCATGTTCTCACACTTGGCCTTGCTCTCTTCCATTGTCTTCTTCTCTTCATCCTCAGGTAGCTCCAGGCCCCCCTTGGTAATTGAGAGAAAGCTTTTTTCATCAAACCCCTTGAGCTGCCGCACAGTACTCATCAATAGGCTCCATCTAATATACTACCCTTGAAGCTCCGCTTCTGCACTTGCTCCACAAAAGCAGAGTTGATAATGTCCTCTTTGCTCTCACCAATGATGTCAACACTTTACCACATTTATTCCATCATTCATTCTCTGTAGATATATATTTTTCTTCTGCAGCATTTGCAGGTTGATGGACTTGATGTCACTCATCCTCAAAAATTTATTATGTATTTCCTTAAAAGAACACTCTCATAATCACAGTATAATTATAAAAACCAGGCAGTTAACAATAAATACTATTTATAATCCACAACCCTTACTTAAGCCGTAACACTGATATCTTTTATAGCAAAACAAAGTTTTAAAAACATTGTTTTTCTCCCCATTCAGAATCCAATGTAGGTTCACATGTTGCCTTTAGTTGTTCTCTTTGGTTTTCTTTAATCTGGAACTTTTTTTCCATAACCATAACATTTTTTTGAGTACAGGCTAGTTTTTTTGTGGTATCTTTTCTAACTCTTTTGTAGAAACCTCAATTTGAGTACAGTAAAGTCTTGATATAATGGACTAATTCAGTGAAGGGAGAGTCTGTTAAAGCTGAAAGTCCGTTTTCTGAATGTGTATTCTAAAAAACTGACAAATTAGTTAGTTTACCCGAGTTTACTTAGTGTAGACACGTTTGTGTAAAATTAAGTAGGAATGAAAAGTTTAATTTCACAGAAAAGTTTTCTATATGTATTACAGCAAATTTAAGTTTATACTACATAGGTCTAGTAAATGCATGCATTCACCAGTCACCTCGAGTGAACAAATGCACACAGCTGCTGTGTGGCTTAGCGCACGTGTCAAAATCAGCCAGCACATGTTAAAACTGTAGCAGAGGTCACTCCACGCAACAATAGAACCAATTGTCATGCACAATGAGGTGCGATAAAGTGCTAATCATTCCCTGAATATTGTTTACGAGCAATGACTCTTGGATTTAAATATAAAGACTTATATTTTTGATATTTATTTTATATATTTAAATGCCATTTAACAAAGAAAAATCAACCAAAAAAAATGAGTTCGCATGTCACCTCTGACACGCGTTTCATAGGTTCGCCATCACTGGTCTAGAGCATATTTGGCAAATGTTAATATTTCACAAAGTTAGGTGATGTGCTAACTTGATCATTTTCTTCATACTCTATGTACACTTAGAACAGCGGTTCTCAACCTGTGGGTTGAGACCCCTTTGGGGGTCGAACGACCCTTTCACAGGGGTCGCCTAAGACCATCCTGCATATCAGATATTTACATTACGATTCATAACAGTAGCAAAATTACAGTTATGAAATAGCAACGAAAATAATTTTATGGTTGGGGGTCACCACAACATGAGGAACTGTATTAAAGGGTCGCGGCATTAGGAAGGTTGAGAACCACCGACTTAGAATATTGTATAAAAAACATAAATGCAAAATAAATTTGCCCTTACTGACCTTGTTCAGGTTTGATTTGACAACAAACTTCCATTTAAATCACTTAGCAGATGAAGATAATGCTACCTTAACCTTTTTCTTTCTGTCATCAATTCATTTCCCAGTTGGAATGCCACAGAACTGATAAAGGACTCGCTTTTTTTTTTTTTACATTTTCTTTTTTTTGTTTAAAGTTTGACATGATAAAGGACTTTCTTATCAAACTATGCCAATCAGTTGTTTAATACCTAGTTTAGAAGGTACTCTAAATAACTTCAACTCTACTCCATACTACTTCAGTTTTTTTACAATCTCTTTTTTTATCAAAGCACATAATGAACCAAACTATTAAAGAGACCTAGATACACTTGTTTTATATATGCTCAGCTGGTTGTGGTCATAGATAAATATTAGATAAATATTCATGTCAGATATAAATTATAATTACAGTGGGTTCATTTAATTATAGGAATAGAAGTACAAAAAGAAACTCATTTTATAATAAGAATACAATTAAACTTATTTGGTTGATGATTTGATGATTTCACCAAGTTTTCAAAATGTGATGAACAACAGAGATTTTGTTTCTTCATCACTCCACCTATTCTTTCATGCATTTGCTTATAAGAGTACTTTTGATTTGGAGCCAAAAGGCATGTACTTCAACACACAATAGCATCAAGTTTCACTGAATAAACAGACAACAGCTAGAGTACTACTAATTGCATGTTTATAACTTATTATAACTTTTATATAAAAGGGCAAATTTAAGAGAAAAAACCCTCTTATGATAATTGGAGAAAGACAATTTAATATGCAGGACTACATTTTAACATTATTATATATTTGAATACTAAACCTTACAAAACTTAACGGAAATTAAGGATCTTTTTTAAAGTTCCAAAGGCATAAAGATGAAAACAAAAGATGTGCTCAAAGTTACACAAGATTTTTGACAACATCTTCATGCTAATCAACTCCTCTCAGAAAACAATAAAAATCTAAACTTAGGGACTCAATTTTTAGTAATTTCTGAAATGTTCTCATTACTAATAGGGTCTTGTAATTAAGACATTATTTGTTAGGTTTTAACTGCACAATTAAACCATCATAATACTTACAAAGTCTTCCTCTTCAAACTGCAACTTTTCCACCTTGTCTTCTTTCCTTTCTTCCATAATCTCTGCAGGTGGCTTTTCCTGAAAGGCACAGCCTTTCCTGGAGTGAAAGCTGCCATTCCAGTGGCGATGGTTTCCTGCGCCACCCCCACTACGCTGGTTCATGCCATCATGACCACGGGAAGAGCCATGCCAACCAGATAGGTTTCCTGTGATTCCAGCATATGCTCCCTTAGAGACACCCGAGTCCACAGAATCATGGCGAAACAGGGAGGGCTGGTGCCAGGAATCTAGAACAGTAAGAAAAAGTAACACATTAGATTATTTGCTTCCTGGAAATTCAGAAATAATTTGGCCAGATGCTTCCTGATCTGGTTTATGGTATCACCAAAAGCCCTTCAGGGGGGACCTTTTAAATAAAAGATTAAGTTTACAGAAAAGAAATCACAAAATATCTATTTTTCTTTTAATGTATTTCTATATGAGTTCTTCCACTGAATAAATGACTCATGAGAACATCCAATATAGTTGAGAACATAACGTTAGAAAGCCAACATAGTTGGAGTATTTAACTGAGAACTATGCTTAGAAAAGATCATAATTTCAAGATTATGGACATGCACCCTCATGCTGGGCTTGCCCTAAATGAGTAGCTTAAATATAAACACGGAAGTTGGCCATGGCTCACCTCCTGTAGTTCGTAGAGGTCCATTGTTAAAAAAGCCATCAGAGGAATTATGTCGACGACGGCTTACTCCAAATCTACCATCTCCTCGGGGTAGGTGCTCTCCGTGTTTTTCAAAGGTGGCTGTAGGTGACTAAGATGATAAAGAATAGGGAAACAAACAGTAAGTAGATGTGTCTTTCTTAGGTTTTGTAGTAGGCTTTTAGAAAACAAGAAATGACTGTGGCAGAAACTGCCATTATGAGAATACTAGTGTCCCAGTGCATGGATTCGTGCACACTGAAAGGAAATTAATTATAAGAAATACATATATGTGTGTATATATATATACATATATGTGTGTGTGTGTGTGTGTGTGTG